CTGAGTCAGAGGTACAAAGCTTGAACTCCACTCCAGATATGCGAACACAAGAACTAGGAGCAAGAGTAAACGATGTGGCCCCTTGAACAAGCACTGTCATTCAATAGGATTGTGAATGATCTTCAACATCAACTCCATTTTCCCACAGTATCTGCATACCACTTGATTCTCTGTGTCCAAATATCTACCAACCTAAGCTTGGACAAACCCATCAGCTGAGCACTGCAGAACTCTGGGATTTATTTTTCAACATCTCAGGTGTAAATGGCCAACACTACTTCTAGACTCTCCTATCAGGGGAAACAGTCTTTTGACATTTACCCTGTCAAACTGTACAAGAATTTACATGTTTCAATGAGATTGTCTCTGTTTCTAATTCTTTGAAATTCCAGGGAATATAGGCCTGGTCACTCGATGTTCCCAAAATCAATAAAGCAAGATGGTGTAAGCAGTGATTTAGGGGAAGGGGAAGCATTGTGGAGCAGCTGGGTGACTGCTCCAACAAGTGGAGACCAAAGTTACTTCTTTGAATCTGGCTTGACATCCAGTGGAACACACCAATAAATTGTAGGTGTAAGTGTCTCTACCCATCTGCTGCTCATATAGGTTGTGGGAGCATTGACGACCCTACCCATATAGACTAGCTACCATATTAGCTAGTACAAATATAACTCTGGTCATTGGAGCATTAATATTATGGCCTGTCAGACTGCAAATCCTTCCAATATTTCTTATTGCTCTAAAATTGTGCAGAATTGACTCTAATATCATCTTTATCCTTCCTTGTTTGTGACTAAACCTAGACTGCAAAGTGTATCCATGTCAAGTAAAATTTATTTCACACAAAAGCAGAATTAAAAGCACAGACAGCTTCAGGCTACAGATTATGCTGTCAGAATCACTGAATTGAATTGAAATCTGTGTTATTTTCTGTGTATGAGATTACATATCATAGATCAAAACATATGTGAGGAAAGAATCATAGAAATGGGATTACAATAGGCAACTCCAGTTGAAGAGCTAGAGTTGGTAGGATTCCTCCTCCACCTGTGAGGTCTTCTGAAGTTTGACAACAGGCCTTGGACAATTAAAAATCAAAGGGAGGCCCAGATTGTCTTACTGGATTAATGGCGTAAAATATTCAGCATTGGTCTCTAGGTTCATAATGGGTACATTTGGGATCTTCCAAATCCAAAAAAGGTGTTGAAAGAATAGTAAACAGTTGTTGTAAATTGTCCATTTACTTCAAGATGAAAGAATGTTGGGGTCAAGATTAACTAATCAGCTTTTCTACCTGGATGCTAGACTAATGTATTTCATGTTGCCAAGGGATGCAAGACAGAGGAAGCCATTTTTGAAGTCAGGTTACAGGCTTTCTTATAAATCAGTGAGTATCAGAGAAAGAGGCTAAGGCTGAATTGTCTCTGCATCCCATTGCCTTTTAAGGATTCCAGGAGATCCTTTCTTGAGTGGTCAATGAGGTTAAATTATTGTAAAAGACTTTTTATTCTGGTGATATATTTGAGAAACTTTGTGAAAACTAAGGAAGGAACTGGAGGTGATAATTCGATGTTGCTAATAGGTAAAATGGGAAAATGGGAATTTGCTGTAAGTACTGTAACTGCAGACTGTGATATGATACAAGTTTAAAAAAGGGGAATGTACCTTTTCTTCAGTTTAAAGTATGCCTCCTACAAAAATTATATAGCTCAGTCATTTTAGTCATTGTTAATAGGAAAAATATTAAGACATGAAATTTTGCTATCCTTTTCAACTATTAACTAGAAGTTTGAATTTCTTCTTAGGTGTTATCAGTCTCTTCGGAGATTTGTGCAAAACAATGTGAAGCCAGATTTCTCCATGCTGTTTGACTAGGATAACAGGCCTTTTGGCAGAAATCCCAGTGCACCAAACATTTTGTGTGTGTGCGCGCGCTGATCAGCCTTTTTCTGTTGGTCTGTAGATACAAAGTCCTGCTGTGAGTCCTCTGCAGCAGAACTGGGTGCAACCATGCACTGTGGAAAGTTGATACCTGTGCCATTCTTTCTCCTAGTGCTAGGTGGTAACTGTGCCAGTCCTCACCATGTGCAGTCTACCTCTGTGCTTCTCTCTAAAACCAAGTCAGCCTCAGTATTCTGTACCTGAGGATGTTAAACAAGGTTGAGTGGCAGCGCTTTTTTCTTCAAGGTCCTGATCTGCTTGCACTTCACACTCCATCAGTGTTTGACCAGAGAGTGGTCCTTGGGTGATCTGAAAGGGTAAAGGCATAATGGTAGTGTAAGTTTGGAGTAAGGGATAGAGTCAAACAGGAAATACGTGGTTACACCATTTTCAGTATGCAAGTAAGAAGAGAGTGTGGGATGAGGAGGTTGTGGGATGTGAGACAGTGGATTATATAGCAGTGTATAATTATTCTCCCAGGTTTTAGTCCATTTGCTGGCCATGGCCTGAATCATGGCTGCTCAAGTGATGGCCAGCACTATTTCTCCCAGCAGAACGATGACATGCAACCTTGCCTATTTTCAGAGTGTTGCAGTTTCTGCCTGTAGGAGATTGGGAATTGTAACAGTAAATGTGGAGCTATATATCTGGGCACCAATCCTGATTGAAAGGTGATAGTGTGCACCAACCGTGAATACAGGTCTGAGATTGCAACATTGCTCAGTACATGAGCTTGTGGTGAGGCTCTAAATATGAAATCTGAATTACATTTGATAGATTGTTGGTAGGTGTGCGAAGTTGGTGGTTCACCATCAGAGCACAACATTTGAAACATTCATATATGCTTCCAATTTGTGCACGGTCTGGATTACTGTGATGATTAATTGTTGCCACCACCTTTTGTAATGTTTGTTTGGAGGGCTTCCTAGTCCCCAGAGGCAATTGGACCTCTTGCTTTTTTTTTTCCACCCACCTTCTTTCTTCTGTTTTCTTTATTCATTCACTGGATGAAGACGTCGCTGGCTTGTGCCAAGGTCTTCAGTGCTTCATTTGAAAAACCTAACCTGTCCATCTTCTCTCCCACCTATCCGCTCCTCCCACCTCACTGACCAATCCCCACCACTGCCTACCCACTCACCTATCACCATCCCACCTACCTTCCCCACCCTCACCTCTCCTCTCTCTCTTTATTTCAGAGCTCCCTTCCCCGTCCCCCATTTCTGGAGAAGGGTCCTGACCTGAAACGTCAGCTTTCCTGCTCCTCTGATGCTGCCTGGCCTGCTGTCTTCCTCCAGCTCCACACTGTGTTATCTCTGCCTCCAGCATCGACAGTTCTCACTATCTCTGATGCTCAGTCTGGCTGTTTCCGCTCTTTCTGTTCATGAACACTTTCCTAATCAGTTTCTGGGCCTATTGCTGAGTGTGGTCTGGCTCCAAGTGCTGTTAGTTCTGTATGAATTTGGGACACCTGCTCGGATTGGTAGCATGACCTTAGTTTCTAAACTGCCTGCATGCATTACTTTGAACAGGCACAGGTTAATTGTACATAGTGATCATGTTGCTTGTTTTGTAGCCCATTGTCCTGTGTTAGTGGGTGTAAACTGTCTGCTTTGTTTTGGTAGACTTGACTAGATGTTTAGAGGAAAACAAGAAATCCAATTGTTTACAGTTTTAATGTTCTGCATGTGTTTGTTGCCAAGGTTGATATGTCAAACGAGTGAGTTTAAAAATGATTTTATTCCTCCCTCAGAACCGTAAGATTTTCTCGAAAGTGCAACAGCCAAAGAACGTGTTGCATTCTCCTAAAGCAAAGCAAAGCACAAATGACTTGAGTAAATGCTATCACTTTGACACTGACTTTCAACACTGTCAGCCTGCTCCTCTGCTCTCGTGCTATGAGTGCAGGCCAACAACATTAATTCAGACATGTTTTTACATAAATGTGTTTTTTAACTTCTTTCAATCACAACTCCCTTTTTGTGAAACCACCAATTAGCAAAACCACTTGCAAGAAGTGAGAGATATGGTGTGACTACTGTTTCAAACCAAATTGTTCCCTCTGTCACACTTTTAAAGAGAGTCAAAATCATATAGCAATAGGAAAACCAGTGTTATTGCATGGTGAGATATTGGATACAATCTTGTTTATCTTGCTTTTGATTTTGTTTCTGATATTAGTATATTATAACACTGTCCTGACTTCATTCATTTTCTTATTGTGTCTCAGTAACATTGACTTTAACACAGGAGTTGTTTCTCTTTATCTTAGCACTCGAACAGGACGAACAGCTCAGTGCCTTGCAGCTTCTCATTTATCTCCTGCCCCCATGTAATTGTGACACGCTCCACAGACTCATGGAGTTTCTTGCCATGGTAACAAATCATGCTGAAGACACCCTGGATAAAGATGGACAGGAGGTAGGGGAACTTTGAAGTTTAGAGGCTTCAAAATTCCATTGAGTGCATTTTACCGTGTCCTTTATGTCTTATACTTAAGACAAGATATTCGCATATCATAGCTGCATTGAATCCTCCTATAATCTTACTTTTTTAACCTACTGCCCCTCTCGTCCCTCCTCTTCTGTTAATAGTGTCTGGAACTGAGACTGTATATATTTCTTCCTGGCTTCCATTCAGTTGAATTGATGGATGAGATTTTTTAAAACTTACTTTAAATTTAATTTGATCCAAATTTCTGGAAATGTCAAAGTTAAACTTATAAATGTTTAATTTATTTCATAGTTAACAATACCATTGTTGTAGTTAGCAATGACAGTAGACTCTTTAATTCCATGAGGTTGGCAGCAAGAAATAGTTCAGATTTATTGCCATTATTATCTTGGTAACATCCCTTGCCCGAGTTTGGCAACAGTCCCAAGTTGCTTCAAATTAATTTGAAGTTTAAACTTGCTAACCTTGGAGAGGTATATAATGTTATATGGAGCCAGCATATATATATTTTAAAGTTTTCTTTCAAGAAAAATAAAGTTGTTTTTGTGATTCAGCATAGGATCCCCAGCCTGACTTATTATAATTGGTAATCATCAGTAACATTCTTAACTTGTAAATAAGAAGGTCAATAGATCAAGTCTCTCCACAAAGATGTGAAATATGAAATTGAAGCTGACAGTTCAATGCAGCACAGTGGAAGTGCTATCCAGTTGAAGGGGCATCTCTTGGATGAGTTAGTAAGATATGGCCTCTTTCTCCCCTTCAGGCAGGCATAAAATATTCCATGGTACTGTTTCAAATAAGATCAGGGAAAATCTCCTTTGCACACTGACCAATATTTGATTCTCAAACCACATTACATTGGTAAATAGGTGATCTGGGGGTTATCACATTGCTGTTTGTGGCACTGCTGTGAGTAAATTAGCTACTGTTTATCCCCATGTCAAAGTGGCAATTACACTTGAAGAAAACTTCATCGAATGTAAAGAAAAAGGATTGGCCATGCTAAATTGCCTGTAGTGTTCAGGGATGTGTAGATTAGGTGGTTTATAGGGGAATGGGTCAGGCTGGGATGCTCTGAGGTTCAGTGTGGACTGGTTGGGCCGAAGGGCCTGTTTCCACACTGTAAGCATTCTATGATTCTGAACTTTGGGACATCCTGAGATTGTGAATGGTGCTATATAAATAGAATTGAATTTTTTTTATTGTAGCTCTAATTTTGTACCTTTGGTGTAGGCCAAATCCTGCTAGACTAGTAGAAGGAACATCACATAACTAAGGCCTTAAACAGAAACTGGGTGGCAGCATGATCAAGCATGGAAAACAGCAGAAACTATTTTCCTTAAGAAATTCACTTTTATTTTGGAAATAAATGCAGGAATGGCTGCTGTGGTATTATGAGGTCACAATGAAGTGACTAGTTCTGTTACTGAGCATATTATAACACTTAGAATTAAATCTTTTTTTCTGTATCTCTCACTTGGAGGGTAGATTTTGACTTTGTGTAGTAGGATAAATGGGTGATCCTGAACTGACCTTTCATTTAATATCTCTCCTGATTTTCATTTCCATCAATGTTAGTAATTAGTTGAAGAGCTCTCCCATTAGCTAACTGATTAAAGATTTAACAGCATCTTAGATTTGTTTAGTACATTCTCAAAAATGGTGTGACTCTTTGATCTTTTACTTATAAATTCTGTGTCTGATACTACCTCTCTCGCTAACACCTGAAGAAGGAATAAGACTCCAAAAGCTTGTGTTTTCAAACAAACCAGTTGGACTGTAAGCTGATGTTGTGTGATTTCTGACCTTGTCCACCCCAGACCAATACTGGCAACCCCACATCGTGACATTCTTCCAGCTCAGGAAGAATCCAAGAGTGCGCTGAGATTGGGGCTTTGCCTGCAGTGGGCCAGAGGATTGGTATTTTAGGATTAGCATTTGAGTGCAGGGAATGCCAATCTTACCCTCTAAAATAGTGCAACCTCTCACTGATTCAAGTTGGACAACTATCTGAAGTATTAGCTCAATCTGAAGTATTAGTAGTGCAGTATAAAAATCTATCTGAAGATGTAACCTACCTGGTAATTAATGTTTCCTTTAAAGTGCTTTACAGTCAATGAAGTTGTGTTTTTTTTAATAGATTAGTCACTGTTGTAGTGGTGGAAGTACTTGTGTTAGCAACTGAGCACTGTTTTCACCCTTGTTTAGGCTGCAAGTAATGTTACAACAGGATGTACTAATCCCTCTAGAATTCATGTGATCTTTTGCTTCTGTTGTACTTTTCATAAAGAAGCGTGACTGCACAGTTTGGTTTAATAATGCAGTGTATTAACAATAGTCTTGTCAATTGCATGGAGTTCCCTCACACACTAATGAATGTTTGTGTTGTCTCACTTCCAATTTTAATCAGCGTCCAGTGGATGTGATAACATGTCATTGGCTGGTTAGTTACATTTGGGCTTGGATCTCATAAACATGGAAGCCCAAATTTTTAACTCTGGTTAGGGCGGTTGGTGGGAGCACAGCTAATGGAGGAGGATTTGGATGACGCCCTGACATTCTCCAATGACTCATGAGCCTCATTATCATGGCAGAGGATAGGGTCCCATCTGAACCTGTGCGTAGTGATGTGTGCAGTTCGAGAGAAGCAGATGATTGTAACTGGAAAGGAGGGTAACTGGAAGCAGGGAGTGCCCAAGGATTCCTGTTGGACCTGTAGGGCACTCTTGACCCCGTAACAGACATCTAAAACACACCTAAAATTTTAAGCTAGCTGGACCTCTTCTGGTAGCGAACCCTCCTCCTCACAACCCGCATTGGCACCTGAAGGGACTGGGGCTACTGCTGGAAATGGCAGCTAAAATCATACAAGGGTCAGAATGTAGTCACGGGACCCCAATATTCAAATATTGATGAGTTCCCCACAACTGAGGAATGAATGGAAGCAGGTGTAGAATCCCATTCTTTAAAGGTCAGTTCCATCCTGCCAGGCAACCAGGTTTTTATTCCTTTCATGGGGCCTAGGGCTTCCTGGTAAATACACCATTTGTCATCCACCCATAACTGCTATTGAACTGAGCGGCTTGCTTGACCCTTTCAGAGGAAAGTTAAAAGTCACCTACATGGGCTGGAGTCAGATATAGACAGATTTTCTTCGCTAAAGGACATTAGTGGAGTAGAAGGATATTTATGTCAATTGCCAGTGGTTACATGATCAATAGCCTTTTAATTCCAGACTTTCTTACAAATTCAAATTTCCCCATCTGCCATGGTGGGATTTAAACCCGTGTTCCCAGAACTTTAACCAGGAGTTCTGCATTACTGGACCACTGATGCTGCCACTGCAGCATTATCCGTCTCCTAATTAGTCAATATGAATCAATTAGCTATGCTGGTTAAGCAGCATTTCCTACTTCTAACTAGCTTTGTTACATTTTAGGTGACTGGAAACAAAATGACTTCACTTAACCTTGCCACAATCTTTGGCCCCAACCTCCTACATAAACAGAAGAGTTCAGACAAGGAATTCAGTGTTCAAAGTTCAGCTCGGGCTGAGGAGAGTGCTGCCATCATCAACGTTGTTCAAAAGATTATTGAAAACTACGAAATACTATTCATGGTGAGTAGAGATCTCTGTTTATCAAACACTGGTTCTGCTTTGTGTTTCATGTGTAGTTATTGCTGTGTTCCATACTGCTACAATTTGAATCTCAAACTCAATCAATTTGCAAACTATTATGATATCCAAGGTTTGCAAATTTCACAATTTGTCCTGACCCTGAGCACCATTGTTATTACTCAGAAAATTATGACAGCTAAAATTAAAGTGAACATTCTCCACTGTGGCCACTGGAAGTGCTCGAGTTCCTGGCTACTCAAATTGCTGATAAGGAATTTTAATTAAAAGCATAAAATTTTAAAAATACACAACAGGTCAGGTAGCACCCATGAAGAGAATAAAGTATTGTGATGGTTTAAGGTCGATAATGACTAAAAACTAATTCTGAAAAGGGTAGAAGTATAAGCATTCTGCAAAATTGGACAGTGTCTCCTCAGACCCTCTGTCCTTTTATCTCTATCACCTTAAAAAATTGCAACAAGTAAACTTGTAGAACATTTACTTTGTTATTTATTTGCTCAAGTAAGGGACACACCACTTAGATTTTCTGCTTCTCAACATCATCCACAGTGTCTGCGTATTGCAGTGTCTTTCATTCATGTATCATTTGTGAATTGGGCACCAGTTGTAACCAGAATGGAGGTGGTGCAGTTCTATGTCCTTGGACTTCTAACCATTAACAGTCAGACAGCAGGAAGAAAGAAGTATAGACATTGTTGACAGGGGAAGTGATATGGCACATGGGAAACTGGAGTAGCAACAGCAGCGGTTCTCAACTAACAAGGCAGTCAGGAATTTAATGAGTGGCAGAAGCAGGGAGTGATCATCTATCCAACACCTTGGAATAAATCTGCAGCAAACACTGAAGCCATATGATGGAATTTAACCTGCGCAGATAAAAACCACCAATTAGAAATGTGCAGCAAGTTCCCATTCAATTCCCGGACAACGTGACTTTGAACTGCTGCTCTAGGCAGTCTGCAATGACACACATCAGACATCAACAGAGTCCATTCTTTTTCTAATATTGCAGATAGGGCTTTCATGACATCATCAGGGCCCGGCTGCAATTTTAACCAGAGGCTTGCTCAGGAAAGCAGCTGTAGATTTCCTTCCAACCAGCCTAACAGAAAGATGAGCTGGGGCCAAAAGAGGCCTCAGGAGGTGAAAGCATTTACTTTTTTGGCTGGATTAAGTAAAGGGCAAGTTTAGACTTCACCTGCCCGCTTTTTTACCTCTCCTGAATCCCCTTCCCTATGACTCAACGAAGTGGTAGGTTCAAGTCTGGGCTATTCGAGTCAACCTCCATGGCTCAGGGTATTTCCTCCTTGATATTGCTTGCTGCAGGCCGCAACTTCTAATCCAACATCTCCTATTTGTAAAGCAGAGAAGAAAATATTCCTGCCCAGTGCAGAGGTAGTCATGAAGTCAAATTAAAATACCATGAGTTTCTAAAAATAGTGAATGCTGATAACGGGTGCAGTTTTAAAAACAGGTGGTATCCCTCCACATTAAGACCAGGCAGTTAAAGAGATTGGTTTGTGTTAATGTTTGTTTTATCTAATCCACACTCCATACTCACAGTTTCTTCCTCCTGTGGTGAAAGTTCTGTGGGAACACAGCCCATGAATTCCTTTGTAATGAATCTCTGCTGACTCTGGAGCGGCCAGTCACAATTCTGTTTTGTTTCCAAGCTCCCTCAGCTCCGAGGGGGCCACAGTTCATATTGTTTTGACATTTGTATTAAGCCCTAGCAAAGAAACATCTGTCTTGTTTTAGAGGAAAGTTAACACAGTGCGGTGCAGAGGAAAGCGTTTGCCAGCCAGTTTCACCCACTGAGAACATATGACCTACTTAGGCCAACAGAAATACATGACCGGGCCTTGCATGGTCATGCAGTATGGTTCTGCTTGAGAAAGGCTGTATGTGAAAAAGGTTTCATGGATCGAACCAATGCCACGTGCTGCAATCTGAGTCCAGTGTCACAACGTGTCAGTTATTCTTGTGACCTGCTCGTGGTTTAGATATGTTTTTGTTGTAACATGTAAAGTAAATCCATTTGTTCTTATCCCTGGCTTTGTCATTCTTCGAGGCTTCCTCGCACAGTCGTAAAGAGGAAGCCATTCAGCCCATCATGGCTGTTGAATAGCTCAACTTCACTGACTCACCTTGCTGCATGACCCTTGATATACTTGCCTATTGAAAAGCTATCAAAATGAATACTCTCTCATCATTATTCCAGCATTCGCAGGCTGTTGAGGGTGAAAATTGCAGCATCGTACTAGTGAGAAAAAGGGGAAGGAAAAATCAAGCTTGCATTTATATGGCATTTTTTTACACTTCTCAAAGTGTTTTTACAGTGAAAGAAGCACCTTTGGGAGCTAAAGGGGAGGTCAGTTCACGCACACAAAGATCTCTCAATCAACAACGTAGGAATGATCAGATTTTTGTTAGTTTTTCTAGATAAGGGATAAATATTGGCCAGGATACCAGAGGGAAGACTCCTATTCTCTTTGAAAAGTGCCCAAAGATGTTTCTCATCCAAATATGACACCTCTGACAATGCAGAAATCACTCAAAGTAAATGTCAGCCTAGAAAATGTATCATTGAAATCTGTAATTCTTGTAGTAGATGAGGAGTTTGTGTATAAATTATTATAGTCTGTCATACCAAAATCATTCAGAAAAGACAGAATGAAAATGAAATAATAAGTCAGCTAAAGCTAGGAAAGTGCTTTTTTGAGTGGGTGAGAGTGACCCTACTCCAGTTCCCACTTGATAAGATGATAAGTTCATAGTGATCTTTTCACAATTTTTACACTAATTTAAAATACTCTCAAGTTAAGTTATGGCATTGATTAAATGTGGAATAAAAGCTTCCTAGCCTGGCCTTTGCAATTTTACAAACATAAAGGTTTATAGCACGAGTAGGCCATTCAGTCCTTTTGAGCCTGCACCACCATTCAGAAAGGTCATGGCTGATCTGATTATCCCTTAACCAACTGGAACATTGTTTCCACCCCTACTCCTGGCCCCAGTTCTACACTCAGCCCCAGCCCCAAGCCCTACTGGGTGTTCACCATCCATCCCCATCCCCACCGCCCCTGTCCTGAACCTCCCCCCTCATTGAGGCTGAATGGTCAGTCCTCAGCAAAGGGCTCACCTTCACTCCCTTGTGACCCACATGTAAATGAATTCCATACATGTCATGATGTCAAGCTCTTTTTCCTCCGCCTCCGTGCCTATTTCTTTGAATGGGAATCCAACCCACCCTCTAATGATCCCTTCTCCCGCCTCCAGCAAATTCCATCTTCCTGAACACTCCCTACCCTCTCCTGACCTCTTCATTTCAAACTGCTGCCGAGACATCAATCGCTTGGATCCCTCCACCCCTCTCACTTTTACTGCGATCTCTCCTCATCGGCGCAGCCCTCCGTTCCCTTCGCCTCAACCCCAACTTCACTATTAAACCCACCGATATGGGAGGTGCGGTGGTAGTATGGCAAACTGACCTCTACATTGCCGAGGCCAAATGCTATCTCTCTGACACCTCCTCCAACCATCCCTTGATCATGACCCCACCTCTGATCACCAAGCTATCATCTCCCAGACCAACAATCACCTCATCATTTTGGGAGATCTCCCGTCCACAGATTCCAAACTGATAGATTCCCAACCCTGCACCTCCCATTTCAGTCTCCTTCCCAAAATCCATAAACCCAACTGCCCTGGTCCACCCAATGTCTCTGCCTGCTCCTGCCCCACCGAGCTCATCTCCTCCTACCTCAACTCTATTCTTTCCCCTTTGGTTCAGGAACTCCCTACCTACATTTGGGATGCAACCCACGCCCTCCGCCTTTTCCAAAATTTTCAATTTCCTGGCTCCCAACACCTCATCTTCACCATGGACGTACAGTCCCATTACACAGTTAGCCTCCACACAGAGGGCCTAAAAGCTCCCCGCTTCTTCCTCTCCCATAGGTTCAACCAGTCCCCTTCCACTGACATTCTCGTTCGCTTGGCAGAACTGGTCCTCACTCTGAACAATTTTTCTTTTGATTCCTTCCACTTCCTACAAACCAAAGGGGTGGCCATGGGCATCCGCATGGGCCTGACCTATGCCTGCCTCTTTGTAAGATTCGTGAAACAGTCCCTTTTCTGCAGCTACACTGGCATCATCCCTCACCTCTTTCTCCACTGTATTGATGACTGCATCGATGTTGCCTTGTGCTCCTGCATGGAACTCGAGCAGTTAATCAATTTAGCCAACACCTTCCACACTGGTCTCAAATTCACCTAGACCATTTTTGAACCTCCTTCCCCTTCCTAGGCCCCTCCAGAACCAACTCGCCACTGACATCCATTATCAAACCCATTGACTCCCACAACTACCTCAACACTACCTCCTCTCACACGCCCTCCTGTAAAAATGATATCCCATTCTCTCAATTCCTCCGCCTCTGCTGCATCTGCTCCCAGGATGAGGCATTCTACTCCAGGATATCCCAGATATCCTCCTACTTCATGGACTAGAATGTCCCCTCCTCTGTAATTAAGAATGTCCTCAACCACATCTCCACTATTTCCCACACTTCTTCCCTCAAACCCACCCATTCCCCAACAACAATAAGGATAATGTCCCCTCAGTCCTCATGTACCATCCCACCAACCTCCGAATCCAACACATCATCCTCCAACATTTCCGCCACCTACAATCAGACCCCACCACCAAAAAGATATTTCCTTCCCCACCCCTGTCCACCTTATGTGGTCTGTTCATTCCACGACTGCCTCATTAGCTCCACACTCCCCACCAATCCCTCCACCATACCCGATACCTTTCTCTGCAACTACAAGAGGTGCAACTCCTGCCCCTACGCCTCCCTTCTGACCTCCATCCGAGGCCCCAAACAATCCTTCCAAATCTGACAGAGTTCACCTGCACTTCATCCAACCTGATATATTGAATCCATTGCTCCCAATGTGGTCCCCTCTGTATT